AAAAGATGGGGACGCACATTTCTGAGGCTATCAAATAAGTGATCAATAAGCATTTATTGAATGATGACAACAGCTTCAGAACAAGTGTGTAACCCTTTGGTTTGGTTTGGAGGGGATGGGGAAGGTAGGGCATGAACCTTCAACTGGACCTTGGTCCATAGAGGGACTTAGACCAAGCCTATATGAAAGTGGATTCAAAATCGGGGCATTTTTTATGGAAAAGAAAGCAAACAAGTAGGAAAGAATAAGCCCCTTTTCAGAGATTAGAATCAGGTGGCACACATTCATTTTAGAGCACAAACTGTCCATCCACCCAGCCATCCAAATATCTAACAATGTTTATCACTCAACAGACTGGTTATGACTGGAGACACTGGTAGGTGGAGCTGGAGACAGATGTGAGGACATCTGGAATGCCAGCTCCAAAAGACAGACTTTCTGTTGATGATAAGTCATTGATGGTTTCTGAGCAACAGAAAGAGAATTTGAAATTTTCCTATGGAAATGGCAGATGGACAAAATTAAACAGAATGGCTTGCAGAGAAAGGGGCAGGGAATCTGACTTCTACAAGGACCTTCTCCCAAGGTCCCTGGAGGAGGTCCCTGGGCTCTGCGCAGACAGGATGATGGCAGCTCCGGGGAGACGGGTTGGGGATGCCTGAGATTTGGAGATACTGTAGGGAATCAACACACAGCTACAGTAAGAATGGGAAGAACAGATACAGGCATCCCAGCTCTTGGAGAGCTGGTGTGGGTAAGCAGGAAGGCTTGGACAGGAGTTATTCAGTCTGCGTATGTCTCCTTCCTCCAGACCTCTCTTACATCTGCCCCATCTTGATAGATCCTTCTGACCACAACTGAGCAGAGATTTTTTGGAGCAGATGAGGAACATATTCCTGACTCCTGGCAGCATGAAGCATGCACTTTATCCTCAAATGTAACTTATATTTCAAAACTGGCAACCAAGCTGAGTTTTGAGTACAATTAAGTTTTAAAGTGATCAACAAACACTTCATAGATATAAGATCAGATTATCACGCAAAAAATCGCTTAACATTTCTCTACTTTCTTTAACTCCTTGATGCCAGAATGCTCAGAAAGACCTCAAGGAAAATTCCCACCCTGCATTTTCCCAGAGAAAAAGGGCTCTAACCTCCCTCTGTTGCTCTTCTCTGACGGATGGACTCCATTACAGCGGTCTAAACACATCCGTCCCCCCCCCCATCCACCTTTCTTTTAGTCTAAACCTTTTTTGTTCTCAGCTGTTTTATCATGGCATCTCAGGGAACGGCTTTTTTTTTTTTTTAATTTCATCTGTGGAGCTTGCTGCCATTTTCCAATGAGATGCTGTGAGCAGCGGAGGCAAAATGACGTTCAGCAGAAAACCCCCAGCGTGTCAGACAGTTCAACACTTTCATTGATTCCACTCACTGAAGCTTGGGCGGCAAATGAGGACATATTTCTTGACACTGGAATGACTTTTTCCTGTGTCTTTTCTGCCACGCGATGACAGATAATTTCTTTAGCAATCGCTGCGTTCTTTTCATATTCTTGGAATCCTGGTGTTGGAAGGAACATCAAAAAGTTCGCCGTGTTTCATCTCCCACTTGCCAACAGAATCATGCTTAAACCGTCCAAGATGGATCCCTTGCTGTCTGATGTGCTCTCTGAGGTTCAGACTGGGAGAAGGGTCATCGGCAGGATGCTGGGAGCACACTTAGACCATGCCATAGTCCCGCTGCTTAGCTACCCGCCTCGCAAAACCCTGCAGAAACAGTTGAGCGTGGTTGAGTAGTCACCTGATATCCTGTAATGAAAATGGTAGAATACGCAGAAAAAGAAGGAGTAATTCCTTTAGAAGACAGCATTTTTGATCTTGAAGAAATTTTGTGTATGTGCTTTATGAGTGCATTTTGTGCTCATTTGTGTGTATAGGTACATGTTTGTTGAGACCAAGAGAGTACCCTTCAGTTCTGTTTCTCCTTGAGCACCACAACCATGTTCTCAAGGTCATCAGTGAGGCTCTGCATGTTTTCGTTTCCCTGAAATTGATTGGGCTTATAAATTCTACTATACCTGCCTCCTTAAAGCAAAAATGAACAAACAGAAGCCATGGGTTCTGGAGAGTAAACTTGGGTCCTATTCCTGGGTATTGAGTATATTATAGGCTGAAATAAATATCCCCAGGCCCAACTAGAGATCCATATATATATATATATATATATATATATATATATATAGTATTTGACTCAGAACTTGACACACTATAGGCCCATCATTAAAGTTTCAGAAAATAAACTGGTATGTAAATATTGCTATTGAAACATGGCTGCCAGGGGAGTCAGTGGTTAACAATTCTCCCCTGCTCATTCTTTGAGTTCTATGTTGTAGTTGGTTTATGTTATTTTGGGACTGCATCTCACTGTGTAGCCCAAGCTGGTCTCAAACTCACAATCTTCCTGCAGTGCTGGCACTGTCGGTGTGTCCCGACATGCCTGGCTGCTGAGACCTGTGACCTGCGACTGTTCACACATGTCCCTAGAGGGCTGTGGGAGTACTGCATGCACACCGCTGTGGAAGAAACAGTTCTAAAGTCAAGTTCAGGGATCTCAGTCCCCTCCACCCTTTGAACTTGGGTACACTTTAACACACTAACGCTATTTGGAGTTCAGAACAAAGGACTCTGTTCACACTGAATAAACTGGTTGTGACTTTGGACACAGGACCTTCGATGGCCCAGGTTCCATCCACCACCTACTTTTTAAGGACACACCACACTTGGGGCTAGCATTCAGTTTTATTTGAGGGAGAGATCATGCCTAACTCAGTTTTGTATGTTTGTGCCATGAGCTAGCTTACATCCACCATGCACTCATTAGAAACTTATGCATCTTAAAGAGCTATCTATGCCTCGTGCATGCGTGACTAGATGACATCAATACCCAGAGAGAAAGCTGGGATGCCGAGATGAATTGAGGACACATTCTGCCATCCAAAGGTTTCTTTAGAAAGAAAGTAGACATCCGGTCATTCTCATACCACGCCTGTGATGAAATCCTTGGGTCCGCCCTCCTCTTAAATGACCCATGCCCTCAAACTTTAGATGGCAGACAAAGCACTTATGGCCCCTGGATACATCTGATTCATACTTAATGTTGATTGTCAAACCATTGGAGAAATCTCCTCTAAAAAACTGCAGCCAGGCCATTTGGAAAGGAGACATCTTGAGAGACCCTCGGTAGCCCACAGGCCATTGCCCCCGGGGCTGTAGAGAATGCCCTCGCTCCCGACTCGCAGCTCTGAGTCCCACGCTTGTGAGGCGTGACACAGTAGCACTGCCAAAGGCTGACCAAGACACAAAACCCCAGAGGCACCCGTGGCTGGCCGGCAGGTGAGAGAGATGCTGACCGTAACCACAGGGCTCTAGCATCTCGTCTGCCACACGTGTTTCTCTGACACCCAAGTACCCAGAGGAAACTGCCACTCAAAAGGCTGTTTTGTACAGCTCTTCCCTGATGAGTTTCCTTGTCAACTGGATACACCTAGTAAGAGGGATCCCCAGTTGAAGAACTGCCTCCATCAGCTTGGGCTGTGGGCATGACAGTGTGGCATTTTCTGGACTGATATTTGACACACTAGGACCCAGCCCACTGTGGGTAGTGCCATCCCTTAGGTGGGCTTGGGCTATAAGAAAGGTAGCTAACAGGAGCCCCGGGAACAAGCGTGTACACAGTGTTCTTCTGCGGTCTCTTTCAGTTCCTGCCTCCAGGTTCTTGCCTTCCCTTGATGATGAACTGTAACTTGCAAGCCAAATAAAGCCTTTCTCCCTCCACCTTGCTTTTGGGCAGTGTCACCTTGTGATTCGCCCACATGGTGAGAGGAAACCGGGAACGCATAGGACTGATCAGCCTTCCAGCATCAGCATAACCCATGTTACGAACAAATCACTGTAGAAGCATCTTCAAGCTTGCAAATGAGTCATCCCAACCGCAATTCACTGCGAGTGACATTTACCTTAAAGTTCTCCTTTGGGAATAGACTGCATGGAGTCCTTTTGTTTTTCAGACAGAATGTCACTGTGGTATTCAGACTGGCCTTGAAGTCCAACTGGTGGTCCCCTCTCCTCAGCCTCCTCCGTGTTTAGATGATAGAAACATGCAACCTAAAGTTTTCTTTCACCCGAAAACGAGAAGGTGGGAGGGAGAGGTCATGATGGCTCCAGGCTAGAATCCCAGCACTGGGGAGGCTGAGGCAGGAGGATGGACAGTTCAAGGCTAGCTCTAGGTTTGTAGTGGGGCTCTGTGTCAAACAAACAAGGGTGAGAGACACAACTCAGTGGCTGAGTGTCAGTCTAATGTGTACAAATTCTGGGCTTGATCCCCACTATTGAAAAATAATTGGGTATAGAGTGCTGAGAGAAAGATGTAGAGTTTCTTTAATGTCTGTATCTAAACGTCACCAAAACCTCCTTTTTTCCCCAGTTCTTCCTCTTATAAGGCTTTCAGTTTTATCTCAACTAGAGATGGACTGGGTCAACAGGTTATTCTAATATACCATTTTTTCTTAGATTATTGTGAGAACATAACGCCATCAGTTACGAACAAAACCATATCTGCTGCGAAAGCCATGCGGTGTGCATTGGCTCTCGTTGCTGTTGGAACTTTCATTCAGAACCTGGGGGGGGGGGCAGGGGTGTCCCTGCTCTGAGTAGCTGGATCCCTGGTGTTATGGAAACAAAGAGCTCTTGCCTCATAGCCTGTTGGTGTGTGCAGTCATAAACGTGACAGTTACTGGGGCTCGGCACCTTCTCTGCCTTCCTGCAGACCTGAGACTAACACACTAACGCGTTCCTTACTGATAACAGATGCCCGAGCCGAGCCTTTGAAATCCCCTTGTTGATTCCATTAGAGGAAAATGGCTTTATGTGGTGGTCTGGGGAGGGGGGGGGATGACTGCTGTTGTGTGGACCCCTGGCTGAGTACCATGCTTTTCTCTTGTAGGTGATGTGCCTTCAGGACTTTTTTGGTGACGATGACATTTTTATTGCATGTGGACCAGAGAAGTTCCGTTACCAGGATGATTTCTTGCTAGATGAAAGTGGTAAGGAAAAAAAAAAAAAAAGTTCAAAACCCGGGGAAATTTGAGGCAGCTTTCCAAAATGAACTGCACCGGGCCAAGATTATGTCAACTCCAAAGCCACCAAATCAGTTTCAGATCCTCTCCTGGCCTTGTCTTTCCTATATCTTGCATTTCTTTGATTTTTTTAAAATATAGAAAACAGATGAAATGATAATTGAAAAGGTTAATCCATTTGGAAGAATACATTCCTAATGGCTTATTTATAGCCGTTTAATAACCAGGCTGATACCTTTCCGAGAATTGAGGTGTGGATTTCGATACTTTTAATTATTTATTTGCCTAAGAAAAAATTTATGGCGGATGGATTTGCAATCATAAAATTACCAAGTGTGCTCCCACACTCAGCTTTCATGTGGCTTCCTCTGGTTCCCGAGAAAATGGTTTGGCACTGGGTCCCTGAAGTACATTGGAATTTATATGTCATTAATATCTGTGAAGTGTCAACATGGTCGCTTCCTTCCCTTAATTGAACTAAGTGTGACCCTTGGTGATTAATAAGGGAGAGGGTTACTGATAAGCAGAGAAATGGATGGAAAAGGCTATGATTTTCAGAATGATTTCCTTTCATGGGGCCAGGGGAGTCACCTCAGAATCTTACAGTGTCACTGGTAAAACAATTGCCAAGGACACCCTGCCGGGGTAATTTCACGTCTAATTCAACTAGGGAACTATGACATCGTTACTGACACTTTGAGTTCTATCTAGTTTGAGAAATTTTTGGAAGTCGTAAGTGAATTTGTGGCTACATTGGCAGAATGGGTGGACGGTCCTGAAGTGCATAAGGTAAACGGCCAGTGCTGGCCCGGCCCGGCTGCACCCGAAAACTTCATTTCATGCTCATCTAGGACCACGTATGTCTGCTGTCGTGATGGGCCACATGTAGACATTTTCTCAATGACAGCTGCCACCCACCGTGGAGTCTCGTGACGTGCTCAGGCATGCACAGCCTTCTTCTTTATTAACTTGTTTATACGATGTTTCCCCCATAGGCCACCCGAACACGCAGGTCACAGCACATACCCTTATCGTTAAGCAGCACAGACACGTCCATAGATAACATCAATGATACGCACCTAAACATTCACGAATCCATGACTTAGGGAATTCGGGCAAGGAGAACTGGCCACCAGCATGGAAACTTCAAGCCGAGCTGGCATGAACGTGCCAACGCCAAGATTTATTTCCCTGCAAGGCTCTCACTGGAGGATTACTTTGGCATCTCTTTCCCTCCAAATAAGTCTTCTCTAGATATATGCCCTCTTCCTAATGGATACACATGTCCTCTCGGGGCAAGGATTTATGGAAAAGTCTCATTCAGAAGACGCGCTCAGGGAGGAGAGTGCCCCGCCTTGTTTAAGGACAAAGCAGCTTTGCCATCTTGTGGAACGAGCAAACGTTTCCAGCCAGGGCACCAAGCTGACAGCACGGGTTTTGAGAAAAATAAATGGCCTTGACTTTCAATTTAAAGAAAATTGCTGCTTTTGATAGGACGGTCTGGGACACCAGATGTGTTCTGTGAGGAAAGCCCACTTGCTGTTTTGAGAGTGAGAACAGCCTGTCTGCCTGGCCCGGAGTACAGCGCACTTCCAATCCGCAGAGCTGGCCACTGGCGTGCAAGGCCTCCCTACCCTTTATCTAGTCCTAGGCTGACTTCAGGCTGCCACTCCCACCTGGCCCATCTTGGGAAGCCACACAGCTGGCTGGTCCACGGCTACTGATGTGGGAAGATAGGCTGCCAGCCTGGGAGCTTCAACCACCCACAACCGCTGGCAGGCAGACTCTCTGCGAAGTGTATCAGAAAACTGCCGGGGGTAGGAGGGAGAATATCTTACCAATTTCCCTCATTATCAAAATGCATATGGCGGTGTAGCTCAGCGAGAGGGCGCTCCCTCCCCAGATTTGCTAGAGAGAAGACAAGTGGGGGCTGGAGAGATGGCTCCTCTGTTAAAGGCACTGGATGCTTTAGCCAAGAACCTGGGTTGGACTCCAGGCAGTCCCAGGGTGGCTGGAGACTGTCTGTAACTTTAGTTCTGAGAAACCCAATACCTTTCTCTGTCCTCCAGGGGGCACCAGGGACATGCATGGTGTATAGACATACATGTAGGCAAAGCACACATGTACATAAGATAAAATAAAAGTGAAAGTATTTTAAAAGATGACACAAGTGTATGTACACACACTCACACAGACTAACACAACCCATGCGTGCACATACACACACGTACACATATACACACACGTACACACATACACACACATACAAACATATATACACGTACACATATACACACACGTACACGTACATACACGTATACACATACACACACGTACACACATACACAACACACACACTAGTCATCTTTTGACACTTAGCCCTTTGAGAGAGCTCTACAAACCATTTTGTTGCGCTCCTCACTTCCTTTCTCCCAATAAATATGTCCTACCCAATTCTCTGTGTGAAATACATTTACTGTGAAACTTGTCCTCCCTCATTCTAGAAGAAACACGTGGGCACAGGAGGGGGGAAGGAGAGTCGACTAAAAGAAAAAAAAATCTAAATTGAGGTTTTACTTCCTCGGATGAACTTACCCAGTCTAAATTCGCACGTTGACAACTGCAATTTTCCTGATGCTTGAACAGCGTGTTCTGGGCTAATGTATTAAAATGTGAGTCTTTTTTTTTTTTATAAATTCTCTGAGTGTGATTTACCCCAGCTCATCTCTTCTTACTAAGCTGTATCCGAACATTGATGCTGTGTATATGAAGTTCCATAGTAAACTTCCTTAAAGGTGTGTGGTGACATCTGCAGAATTAATATTTTTCCTAGTGCAGAGGCACACTTGATTTCATGGTGTCAGGAAGTGGCCTTGTGTATCAAGGCAATGCTTTTATCTTATCTTTAGAAATGAACCCAGCCACTAGTGTGCCTGGAATTAGGAAGGATGTATATCCCCCCCCCCCCAAGAATCACTAGCAATCTCCCAAAGACATTGCCCCGGGGCTTTCCAATGGGTACTTCTGGAGCAGATATATATTTTCCAGGGCCACATGGGAGCGGGATATGAACGACCATAAATACTGCTTCCCATCTTCACGTGCTACATGGGGTGCCTTCCTTGTTCTGATTCAGAATGTAACCATTTTAGCAGGGTGTCATCCATCAAGAGAGTTTTGGTACCTTCCAATGGCGGCCAGAGTCCTATATATAGAGTCCAGCAGAGGCTGGCAGAGCCGTCCCTTGTGGCACCTGCTGTCTGATGTAGAATGAGGAACCAGAGTGAAGGAATATGCCAAGTTGGAGACAGGAAGCTCAATACAGTGTTGCTTAGACCCCAATGGCAAACCAGTGAACGTGGCACTTACTGCCATTCAAAAGTGGCAGGGTTTGCTTGAATACTGCCTGCCTTGCCTGCATCAACTCCTTGGTGGTGAACCTGGCCTAGATGTCACCTTTTTGTCCAGTCCCTCATCCTCCAAGCCTATGTCCCCACCCTTCATGGCTTCTACAACTTATAATCATTATATAGTCTTGTCATGGGTCGGTCACCACTGTCCAGCCAACAGCTTACTTGAAAGCCTAAATCTCTCTTACTTTTCTGAGATCTTGAAACTCGGGCAAGGAAATCATTTTTTGAAGCTTATGTACTTTTTGCTTCTTGTAGTTCATTAGTTTCTTAAGGCTGCGTACAAATGACCACAAACTAGACAGCTAGGGCAACAGGAGCTATTAGGAAAGATCTTGAATGTTATCACAAAAAGGTGGAAAATGCCTTTATTAATTCTTTACGAATTTCATATAAGTACTCAATGTATTTTAACCAATATTTACAAATTCCTGGATTTTCCCACTCATATCTCCCAACTTCACATTTTCTTGTTTTGTGTTTTTTTAAAGATAAAAGCGAAAAATGTTTGAGGTCATGGATAAGCTAATTACCCTGACTTGATCACTCTACATCGTGTATTGAAATATCACATTATATCCCAGAAATATGTTCAATATTATGTACCAACTGTAAATAAACATTACAAATACCAGGGTGAGGGGAAAGCCCAGAGACTTACTGTGTTGCAGCGACTGAGGCAGAACGTTCAAAATGAAGTCATGGGTAGAGAATTGTCTGGAGTACAGGCAGAATCGGCCCCTCCCTTTTCCATAATGGCTGCTGTGGGCAAAAGCAATCTTGAATTCCTTGACTTGCGTGGAGCATCCTTCCAAGCTGCCTCCTCCATCCCCATGACTCAGTATGTTTATCCCATTTCCCTCTTCCTAGAAGGTCACCAGTTGTTAGATAAAGATCTCTCCTCATCTCTTGAACATCTTCAAAGACCTTTTCTCCAAACAACTTCACATCCACAGGGATCAGAAGTTGGGACCTAAACAGGGCTTTCTGGGGGACAACTATCTCTGCACACAGTGGAAATTGGTGAAAGCCATCCAGATTTTAGTTGAACTAAATTTATTTCCTCTAACTTTTAAAATTATTGAAAGGGCACTGTGTGATTATGTGTGTACCCTGTTCATACAGTGCCCACAAAGGTCAGAAGAGGGCATCGGATCCCCTAGACCTGTGGTTACAGATGGTTGTGGGCCACTACGTGGGGGCTGGGAATTGAACCCAGGTCCTCTGCATTAGCAGCAAGTGCTCTTAGCCACTGAGCCATCTTGCCAGCCCCCTGAGTTTCTCTTGATCCTCTGTCCTTGGCTTTGGGCAATGATATCAATAGTCTAGTCGCAGAGTTGCTAATGGCAGAGCTGTCGATGGTCTGCCCTTCATCCGATGGGCTAAAGAAATGCTCTCAGGGGTTTTCACACCACGGTGTTGAGGGTCCCCTTGAAACCTTTCGTCTAAGCTGTGAACAAATGCTTTCACAGGCTCAGAGGCCTGTGTGTCTCCTTGACAGAACTGCCAATCCAAGAGATGCTGATGCAGAGCTGATAGCCAATGATCTCTACTGAA